TCCGACTCCGATACACACATTATAGCTCAAGGAGTGCCGCAGGGTAGGTCCTCGGACCCACGTTATTCTCCCTCTTCACAAACGACCACCCAAAATCACTATGCTCTGCGCAAACTTATCTGTATGCAGACGACACAACAATATACTGTATCGCAGAAACGATGGATTTGCTAACAAACTCACTAAACAATGTTCTAGCTGAACTCCAGGAATGGTGCGACAGAAATTCGATGGTACCACACCCAAAAAAATGTAAAGCAATGATCATGCAGCGCAAATCAACATTTCCTGGCCCTATCCAAGCTCTTCACCTTGGCAACAACAACATAAGGTGGACAAACTCAGAAAGACTCCTCGGAGTACAAGTTGATAACAAGTTGATCCTGGTCAGATCAAGTTGATCTGGTCAGATCACGCTGCAAATGTAGCGAAGTCCTTCGCATCCAAGTTAAGTCTACTCCGATGCATGCGATTCCTCCCTCAGAAGCAATTAGAAGATTTCTACACAAAAGTGATACTACCATCAGTTACATACGGTCTGACAGTGTGGAAATCGTGCAGAAAGACGCACCTAAACAACCTGGAGAAACTCCATGCAAGGGCTGGACGGATTGTATATGGGCTGCCATGGGACACCAGCGCTGAAGATGTCTCAATGCGAACTGGATGGGATAGTCGGGAAACAATGTACAAACTGCGACTAACGGAGTTTGTCTCTAAGTGTTTAAAAGGTTATACCGTCACGGAATTTAAAGATTTGTTTTTACAGAGGAATTCAGGCCGCAGAAGAAATGAGAACATCATTCTTCCAAGACCAGAAACAAGTTTTATCAGGAACTCCATACGCTTTAGAGGAGCAATCGCATGGAACACTTTAACGAACAAGGAAACAGAGCCAAAACCTTAAAAGAATTTAAACGCTGTCTTGTAAAATTTGATACCGATAAAATGCATTTCGAACCAATCTTAGCTACTACTAAAAATAGAGATATCAGTTACGAATACTTTTAACAGTTTTAATTTTTAATTGTATATTTTCACGACCTATTTTAAACATTTTTAACAGTTTTAATTTTTAATCGTACATTTGCTTTTAGTACTTCTTATTTTTCTTGTAATTGTTAGTATGCACGACCCCACCAGCAATGCCGATCTTTTTATCGTGCTAAAATAAAGTGCTTATCTTATCTTATTCGAACCCGGACCCTCAGATTCAGTTAGACCTAAAAGTTATCAAATCAAATGTTATCTTGTTTGGTCTGACAGTCTTCTACATATAAAATTGTCAAAGCTTTTTAAAAATTACCTCAAAGAATTCTGGGAGGTTTTTTATGATAATTATAATTTACTTATATAACAGCTATAATAGCACGCTAAACTATTACTTTTATTACTAGTGATAACCAAAATGTTCGGATTGCGGGCGTCAACGATAGAAGGTCAATCTGCT